AGGCGAACACTAAAACACAGCGGAACAAAGCTTTACCAATTTAATTCCCTTCTGATGTGACCGGAAGCAGGGTGTAGGGTTCACTCCACGGTCTTTTCAAAGAATGTTTTCGTATTTCACACTTCTGATGAAATTTACAACCGAATCGATCTTTCAGGATCCTCGATCTGGTATCACACTTGAACTCATTTCCGTGGATGATCATTTTCCAAGTTTAAAAGCCACCTCACGGTTGGCCCTGCGAGGTTCTAGTCCTCGGCAGCGGAATAGTGAAAAAGCACGGTTTAGAATGTGTAGGTTTCGTTAACAAACGATTTATTGCTCAGTGACATGCTACAGATCATCTTGCATTACACTGACCACACGTGGTTTTCAACAAGCCGATCGAGAAAGTTCTGCCCGTTTATTCAGCTTACTACTCATTAGTAGCCAAAAAATATCGCAGAATAATGATGTTTCTTGAACCTAACAGTGCTGATGTGGTGTGATTTTGGAAATCGCTCGGAACACTTATACGACTATAATAACGCTTTAACTGATCACATCCTTTGAATATATATACATATATATATATATATATTTATATATCACACACGTCTGGGTTCAGACTGTGTGCCAAACAAATTACGGTACAACAATCTTTATAAAAAACCAAGCCTTCCATGATTTGCATGTGGGGCGAATACCGCCAGGTTACCTAAGCAACAACCTAAGCCTTCGGCTACCCAAAGTCTGACACACAAGGCATCGGGGCGGTGCGCAAAAGCCGCAATCCGTTGGAGACCGGTGTCCAGTTCATCGGATCATATGCCCTTCGGACGGGGTCAAACGTCCTCACACCTCAATGCCCAATCGAGCCGCTGACCACTGCCACAACCAGGAGGTTGTGTGATTCGTAGGCCTCCTCTTGGTTAGTTTGGGATCAACAGTTTTGGCCAACTACCCTGCGAAAAATACCAGTGTTCCACCCAACGCGGTTATAGCCCCGGATGTCGGCTTTTTGTCCTCTCACTTTGGTGGGAAACGCCCCCACCACGAGAAGGCGGTGAGTAGGGCTTCCTCAGTAGAGTCTATTTGAGACGCGAGGTGCAAGGGAAGGGCGACCAGCGGCAACCCGAGACACCCACCACCGACCGTACTGAGGTTTCGGAGTCACAGCATTATTTAAAAATTAAATACATAGCTTTAAGGAGTAAATAGATTGCAATTGAGCAGTTCTACGTTTCTTGATCTGTGAAAAGAAAATATTTCTGAGTTCTTGGAAATGTACATGGTGATGGTATCATTAGTTTTCGAGGCTTATTGCGTAAATCTAATCATCTCAATAACGCCGAATTCGGAGTGACATGGTCCTCGTAAATAAAATTACCACATTAACCTCACCACCCGTGTAGTACTCTATTGACACTGTTCAAGAATGATCTGCTCAAGGGACATCCCTCCAAACTGTTGCTCCAAAAGAGTCGGCTAGACTGCCGGTATCTCTCGTTCAGCCTCAGAGTGCGTAATAGACGGAGCGCTCATCCGTCCAAAGTTGTTTGTGCTTCAAATTAGATAGAAATGTTTGTGATAACCAACAAAGAGTACTAGACAGCTGTTTCGTCCTATTTGGGACTAGTCAGTAGTGCTTACTTTTTGTTCCTGTCGAGACTCGAGCCGATTCTTCGGTTTGGGACTTTAGGCCCTTATCCTTGAGCTACTCGGTCGACGGTCATGACCTTGTGCGAATGGCTCACTCCAAACATTCGCCATCTAAATTGTTTGTGCTTCAATCATAGATTCATCAAAGTCGCCGGTGGATGATGCATAAAAACACCCAACTGTTAAGTACCCGAGAGTGAACGTGAAAATTTACATGATTATTTCATAGCACTACCATCCGAATCCAGTGGGATTGAATAAGACTCGGCTTGTGAATTTATTGCAGCAAAAATCTGAATTTGATGGAAGACCAACAGGAGAAGGAATAAGCCTTGCTTCATATCGGAAACCCTTTCCCAGGTAAAGAGACCAAGGACCAGGGTCCGGTGTCACCGTAAAATGGGCAACGTTCACAAAATTCCGTCGGGATGGACGCGTGTTATTGTACAGGATGTGAGCGCAGAAGTTACGCACAAAACATAAACACACAATCATACCTGCTGGAACAACACCGTGGTGCTGAAAATTGCGGATCGATCACATCTAAGCACCCCCGGATCGAGGGGAGACCTTGTGGCCCTTAGCAAATTGTCGAACTGGTTCCTTCCGTACCAGTAGAATCAGATCGATACCACAATTCAATTCCGCCCGTGTTCCGGATTTAACACAAGCGGTCGAGTGAAATGACATGCCTTGTGAATGAGGAGCAATTCACGAAATATTTCACGCCCCATTGAGCACCTATATGTATAGTGACCAAGAGGGCGTAATAGATAGTCGTTCGCTCATCCCTCGCTTATCGCGGACCCAAATTCCCTAGCTCCGTCTGTGATTGGACAGTCTTCGTGATAGTCGGTCATGTGTCTACCCTTATCACTCGGTATTTGTTCTTCGTCCCGACAGTTTTGCTTTGTTCGGCGACCGAAGGTTTTGTCCGCTTGTTTGGCCCTAGTAGGTGCTACATGTATCAGCCCTGATCAATTGACTGTTCCGTGAACCCCCTGTGAGAACGCCACGAATTGAGGTTTGTATCTGTGGTTGTGATGTAACCATTACTTACCTGTAGTATCATATATATTGGACGTTAATAAACGATCCTACCTAGATCGATTCCGTCTTCTGACTTGGCGCGTCACTCAAACTTAGCCTAGACACCGGACAGATCTAACAATTGCTATCAGATATCCGAGTTGTTTCACTCCATACTTCAAAATTAAATCGTTTACAGGATGCCATGCTGAGGTAACACACGCACACGTGCCATCCGAGCAAGGTATCCCAAGCTGAAATCTTGCACGGATCGGTGCATGATTGCTAAAACCCGAATCCGGTGCTCCCCCCCTGAGTGTACGATTTTTTCGGTCGAATTGGGGATTGTACGAAATAACGGTTAAAAAAATGGTTGGTCAAAAATCCATTTGTATGGTTGGCCAAGTTCCGATAGTCACAAGTAATTGTAATTGCTCCTTGTCAAGATCCATTGCTCGACAAGGTTTTCCAGAAGAGGCGAAAGAACCAACTACTGGCCACCGGCTCATCTGGAATATCGCTGCTGCCTTGCAGTCCGAGCTTGGATGCGCAAAGGCTAGAGTGCACCCTCGAACAAGGCCTACTCTGGACCGGCCGACCGAGTAGTACAACAGCACACAACGCCAGCAATGATGAACTCTTTGACTTTGTGCATTCAATCTGCCATTTCCAAACCTACAGATAAACACTCAACACTGCACACACACACTTATGTCCCCCCAGCCCTACCCAACCCTACCTTCACCCTCTTAACTCAACTCCTCTCTCGCGTTCTTCAGGCGATCGTGCAAACACTAGCGCCTCAGATGGAAACTCTGCCGCTGTTCCCTCATGTCCTACCTCGACTACCGTCCAAGTCTCACCGATTCCTCCTCCAGCTGAAGCCCTTTTTCACCATCGATGTCCTTTCAAACACATTTAATGTCCGCGCCTTGATGAGCATAGGAAAACAGGCCGGTTTAGCTCGTACGCTCGAGACCCTACCCATCGATCTGTGTTGTATCCAAGTAACTCGCATTCCAGACTGCATCTCCATTATCCGATTGACGTTCCCATTTAACCAATCTGCGAAGTTTCACTTACGCCTCTCTGGGGACCCTGAGGCTGCGGTTTCCGGTCTTGCTGGCGTTGGTGTGGCTCTCAGTGAGAGAGCTGAAGCCGCGCTCCTGGACTGGTTACCGGTCGACAGTAGGCTGAGCGCAGTGAGACTCAGAAGTTCGNAGAAGTTCGTGCAAAGGAAGCAGCCGTCGCCCCAACAAACGAAACCTTTTTGTCGTGTCGGCGCACGCCCCGACAGACTGCAGCCCAGATGCAGTAAAAGATGAATTTTATAATAACTTACACGACCTCTTGTGTAAAGCGAGTCGGGCTGATATCGCGATTTTAGCAGGAGATATCAATGCTAGAGTAGGCCGACTGACTTCGAGTGAGGCGCATCTGGGTGGTCCTTTCGAACCTGTCGCTGGGAAAACGGGGAACGGCTGTTGGCTCTTTGTTCTGACCACCGCCACTTGGCGTCCGCCCTCCTCTAGTCAGATACGGACACAGATCGATCACATCGCTATAAGCTACAAATGGCGGGATTGTATACAAGACTGCCGATCGTAAAGGAGCACCCCCCTCGAATCCGACCACGCGTTAATTTGCGCCAAGCTGTCCATGTGCTTCGGTGGGCGTTCCAAACGCTTGACACATCGACGGTTAGGCCATGATCAGTTGTCTGAACAAACACTCCTAACTATCTTTCAGAACGCGCTAGCTGAAAAGCTAGAATCAACCCCACTCGATGACGTGAACCAGCACTGGTCGCTTATCAAGAATGCTCTGCATTCTGCCGGCTTAGTTAGTTGTGGTCTGACACGTCGTGCCGTGACACCCTGGAGTTCTGTGGAATCTCTACGGCTTCTCGACGCACGCCGATCAATCCCGACCGGCAGAAAGCATAATGAAATACGACGAGCAACGAGTCGTAACCTCAACGCAAAGACTGCGAGATCTGGTGGACNAACCGCACGTCAGAGATGGAACATGCTGCCGCCATGGAACTCCCGTAAGCTGTTTCATCTCACCCGGGGCACCGGTAGGAAAGCCTTAGGTGAGCGAAACGATATGCGAAGCTGACGGTTCGCCCAGTCACAATCAACAGCGACGTCTTGAACGCTGAGCGGAGCACTTCAAAGGATAGTTTAGCTGGCCACCAGCGTCAGCTCCTCACACAGCTATTCCGGCACACGTCCCATGGTCTGCCACAACAGACCCACCTTCTGAGGCGGAAATCCGCAAGGAGATCCAAGCCTTGGGACGACACAAAGCGCCGGGCTCCAATGGCCTTCCCCCTGCTCTGTTTAAAGATGGTGGAATAAAGCTTGCTGGAGAACTCCACGTCCTGCTCTCCAAAGTGTGGAACACTGAGCAAGTCCCCTCCTCGTGGGGGGAGTCTATTGTTGTCCCCATCTTCAAAAAGGGTCCGCGTAATAACTGAGCCAATCACAGGGGTACAAGCCTTATCCCGCTAGCGTCGAAGCTGTTGGCGTCCGTGTTTCACCGCCGATTGTACACTACCCGTGAGGAGCAGGCTGGGCTTGGTGCTGGTCGTGGATTCATCGATCAAATATTCACCCTCCAACAGTTGCTAGAGCACCGTCATGCCTACCAAAGACCAACGGTCATTGTATTCTTAGACATTCGCGCGGCCTTCGACTCTGTCGATAGGACCGCACTATGGAACTGTTTGTTGAGGAATGGAGTACCTGAGAATTATGTGTTGATCCTCAAACAGTTGTATCGTCATACCTCAGGTTGGGTTAGGGCCTATAGCCAGCTTGCACCACACTTCGCCGTCTAGTGGAGTTCGACAAGGCTGCCCTATCTCCCCATTCCTTTTCAACTTTGTCATATAGGATGTTGAACAGAATGCTTTGTCCGGTCTAGCAAACGGTGGAGTCCAACTCCTCCCAGGGAATAGAGTTCTTGACTTGGAATATATCGATGACATCGCCTTGCTCAGTGACAACACACAGGCAGTCCAAGAGGTTTTGAATCACTTGGCGATCGAGGTATCCAGGTATGGTATGTACTTTGCACCTTCAAAGTGCAACGTGCTGGTTCAAGACTTGCAGGAGCCTGTGCCTGCACTCACCCTCGATGGTGATCAGCTAGAAGTAGTTGAGAACTTTAAGTCCTCGGGAGCTTGATCGCAACTGGTGGTGGTTTTGGGGACGAGATCACATCACGAATAGCGAAAGCTAGAGTAGCTTTCGCCAACCTACGACATCTGTGGCGCCGCCATGACACCGCCTCCGATGGCTTGGTCACGTATTGCGTATGGTTTCCCATCGATTACCTTTCCGTGCTCTCTTCGCACGTGTCGGGCAAGGCTGGAANAGCTGGCTTCAGCTTGGCTTCGGTTGGTGCAGCCCGCCTTCCAGTTTGGGGCCCAGGGATGAGGATTATCGTTGGTTAGAGACGCTGAGAGACATGACCCGGAATAGAAGTCGGTGGCGCGAACGCCGTATGGTCTGCCTGTCGAAATCCCGTGCCCCGTAAAAACCACAAACAACAAAATAAATCTTAAAAAGTGTACGGTGAAACACCAAAAAAATTGTTATTCCACTTATTCGTAATCTCCTATTCTGACAGCTACAT